TTAAGAGGAATAGACAGATATGATATGATAATAACTTAAATTCCGCTGTTAGAATACAGGAAATGAGCAAATTTTCAGCGATAGTCCAACCGACTTTACAATATCGCCAACTTTAAAAGGTGGCCCCTTAGTCTACTGTGGTGGAGTTTCAATAAGGGTGGCCAGTCCTTAAGCCTCTGATACACAGATAGGTAACCGTCTCGCAGAAGACGATGTTCTTCACATAAATCGAGTACGCTTCAGACTGAACTAAGATTTGAGGTAGAACAAGCTATTCATATTTTTGTTTCCCTACTTTTTGCATCTCCAGGGCAGTAATGTGTGCCCACGACAGTAAACAAAGTTACTCTATTAATAAATCAAACTATGGGTGAAATAAGGCACTGCAGCATTTTATAATTTCTCGTCTCTAAGCGTCCTAATGTTGACTTTAATAAAAGTGTTAGATTGTGGCATGAATAACAGTTAATAATAACGAAATATTTGCTTCACCAGCGACAATATTATGGCAACGTTTATTTCAGCATGCACAAACGACCTATAGCTAAAACCGTTGTATCGCTAAACACCAATATAACAGGACAGCACATGGTTATTTTTAACTAGTTTATCATTTATTATGGGACAGTTTATTGTGGAATATGACAAGCAAAATTTTTGCTGGGCATTATTTCTGGCCTACTTCTAATCTGTTTCAAGTGATACATTATGTTCCACATCCAAATGTTAGCGCAAACCAATGTTTGAAATCCCGTTCAAATATGCAATATGTTTCGAAGTCCTATTATATAGGATTGTACATAAAGCAGGAGCGGAGCGCGGTCCGCTTGTCACAATAAATGAACATTGTATACAAAACCCAATAACCTCCAAAATAACTAATTAGGATCAGACATGCAATCAAATTGGCACGAAGTAATGATTGCTCAGGTAAGGATTTTCAAATCACCATTAAGTTCCACTGTCGTTGAATCGCAATAAATTATCAATCCGTTTTGTAGCTTACGATTTGTATTCTCATCTAGATACCAAAGTAACAAACATTAATAAACATCGTTCCTTAAGCCATGTTGGGAAGCATTGTAGAATGCACGATGTAAGCTTGCATTTAGATATGAAATAGTGTATTGTTTCAATTCATGGTAACGTAGTTTAGCTGAAAATTGACACTATTTTTGACGTAACTAAAAATTAAATTCTAGCGTTGCTAGAATTTTCACCGCATGTAAATTGTTATATACAACCATACTAAACTACACATTAAATTACGAAATACAAGATTATAAAACATCTACAAGTTATATTAGTCCAATACGGTGCTGAAACGAACATTCATGTTCCTTCGTCGCAACCGGCGCACTTCACAAATGGTTCCTACTTTTTGGGAAGTTGATTGTTTCTCCCAGCAGGTCAGCTTGTGAAGGTTTTGCACAACGAATTGAGGTTGACACTTTAGTGCAAGCGTTAAATTGCCTCTTACATTGTATGCTAAACCGCGAGCACAATACAACCAACATCCTCGAAAACAAGGAGATAATCAGAATACCGTCGCCAAGAGTTAGACAACCGAGTGATTGTAGACCGTTTGCAATCACGTTTATCTACTTAAAGAAATTTCGCCATATGAAGTGCATGGGCTATTATGAATAGAATTTCAACATATCTATAATAAATAGATTTGAGCTGTTTACATTTCAGTGTATTAATTTGTGGCTTCTGGGAATATGGCGCGAAATAGCACTAAACATGGTTTCATATATCTCTTTGTTATGCAGAGTTTGTGACAACTGGTATAGTTTATACAATGAAACTGTTTGTGTTAAAATGAACACCGTACGAAGTTGACGCAAAATCGGTTTACTTTTTAATGTAACTTTTATTATAACAAAGATACAGCTATGAATAGTGGATTAATCTAAAAATACTCTAAACCACGCCAATTTAGCAATCAAGGAAACACGATTGGAAAAATGCAAAGGTTTTTAAAGGCTAATCTTTATTATATTTACTTCTAGATATCACGCCTTGGACTGCCATTGATAAAAGCTAGTAGAAAGTAATATTTTTGCTTTATTATCTCGCTGCTGTTTCATACACAAGCTTTAACAAGCTGTTGGACGTTTCCATGTAGTTATCCTGTTCCTGGTGTGTACTTCTCCCATTTGTGTTATACGATTGTGATCAATATTCTCCGTAGTATAAGTTCGCTCTCTCACGCTTAGTTTTTTTCTCGACTGTATTGCCCTAGTCAGAATCAGAACTAGTTTTCACATAATCATTAGTCTCTAAAGGCTTCATTGATTTTACACACCTACACAATTACAAATCGAGAAAATATCGTATCATCTTATTGACTTATAGTTGCCTCCTGCAAAGCACAGCTATTTGTGTTTGACTGCACAATGAACAATTATATTAGACTGTTTAAATAGATTTGTTTACAATTCTCGATAGATGGTCTATTCGGTTAGTGTAAAAAAGTAAAGGAAAATCGGTCACTTATTTCACTGTTCAAATAATACACTTATCCTTTTTTATCCCGTACTTCTACATCCCGTACTTTTTCATAGCTTCGATAGGCCAAAAATAAATCAATGTTAAAATCCAAGCTGGAAGAATATCATGAATATTACAGTCTTTTCCACTTGTAGGAATCCCTAAGACAAAAGTTGCTGTCATTTAGGTGATACAAAACGGCTACCTCATCCATCACACTGATTCGATCATTCGGTTCACTTAATCTTCCAGTTAGGGCTGTCAACTTTACCAGCGTTTTCATCTTTAGTTCCGAGTCAAGCCTGTTGCACTCCATACGGTGGCTAAACTACATAGATGGCAATTTTGAGGAAAAGATTGCATTAATATACATAAGAAAAATTAAGTTTACAAAGTTAGCATTGTTGTGTAAAACAGAAGAGTAAATGAAGAAGAAAATATTGTTTTTAGTTCATTTGTCATCTTAAATTTAAAATAATTGTGTAAACCAATTTATTTCGTTAGCAAACTTTTATATTATTTCTAATTTAGAGCTGGTTCAACAGATGTGCTAGTAAATATCTAGGTAAAGCTTGCTTCAGAATGTAAAATGACTCTGCACTGCATGTTCCGGCACTTATTAATGGCTGCAAATAGATATATTATATACGGCACGCTATTTGCCACAAACGCGGGTAGCTATAAGGTTTAAATTTAGCACAGGTGCCAAGGATTAAATGTTCATGTTTACTGTTTTTTATTTCATGTGATTTGAGTGAGGAAAGCGTAAAAATTGATTTTTAGTTTCATTTGTTCGTACTTCTTCTAGAAAAAGGTTTAAATAACTCCTCCAGTTCGTTTGCGAAGATGGGTTATACATAACTAATTTCAAGTTTAAAATCAGTACAATTTATATATGTATTGTTTAATTGCGTTTTATCAACCAGCACTTACAACTGCTTCACGACATGAAGCAGCCAAATGGCTACATCCCAATCGATAAATAATCAATTGTACTATCGATTGCGCGAACAACAAGGTTGAACTGCAAAACATATTCCATACCCCGGAGGTCAGAAAAATAATAAAAATGTGGTACGGTTGAATTTAACTCTAATTAAGACATGGAGTAGACGGGAGTTTATGCTGAACAATTCCCTACTTTCTTAATATTGCATAGTAATAGTAGTAGTAGTATTGGTAGGCGTTGTAGTAGTATCGGTAGTATTGCCTAGTAGAAGGCTATAACTTTCAATGGTCAATTTTCCAAATCTGCTTCGACTGTGACAAGGAATTTCCCTAATAAAATTTGACAAAGCTAATAATCCTTACCGTATCCTATAACTGTGAAAAATGCTCGTCATAAGCGAAAATGTTTATCTCTACTTACTTGATGACTATTGGAGTTCATCACAAAATTTGCGTTTAAAGTAATACAACATTTTGATTTTTCGGATATTTTACCAAATTGTGTGAGCTTATGCTAATCAACTCGATTATGTTTGGGGTAAAATAAGGATGGTTTACACAATTGCTCATTCACCTGATATATATATATATATTGTCTAAACATGTTGAAATTAGTATACAAACCGTCGAATATTGGCTGATGACGGGGATATATTGTACGGTTATTATAAAGATTTGCGGCTACACCATAAACGCCATTGCTTATCGGCGTAGTGTTTGTGTTTATTCCTATAAGCCCTTGATTTTGGCATCAGTTAAGTCCTAGTTAAACAAGGAGAAACATGTGTGTTGCCTTACTATTCCTAAACATTATGTACAATCTTGGGCAAAACAATGGGCTTCCCGCACAGTTTAAAATATCCGAAAAAAGAGGTTTCGTTTTATCTAAAGCCAAGTAGTCATAAACTTTTGCCAATAGTTATGCGCACAATTACATCAGAGCAATATAAGTGACATCAATGAATGTCTAATTGAGCACTCCAAATGTACCTAAGTTGCAGATACGAAGTAACAAAAGTGCCCAGAATATTTATCGAAGTGCGCTCAAGAGATAAAGTCAATTTCTTTCGCCCATGCGATTAACATTACTTAAACCGATGCTCCATAAGGCAAAAGCTTCCAACAAACCGTTTTGCAAACCTGCAGAAATATAATTCTTTGGTGCACATATCCCAAACATTTTATCGGACCCTACACAATGTATGAATTGGCCAGAATTTATCCGCCAAATTTGAAGTGTTCCTATGCTTCCTGTAGGGCAATTTTTACATGAATACACGCCAAAGCGCTAAAAGCTAGCAGGGAATAAAATAGTATTTGCTCTTTTTAACAGTATGACTGCATCAACAAATGCTAATTTATTTGTTGCTACAACGTAACATCTGAAACGAGCGACCAATACGCTCTGGGTAATTTCCATATCATCTTCCTCCACCCAAGTAATTTCATTGGATTACAACAGTGACCAATAGAGAAGGGAATCTTCGAGCCAAGTAAAGTGTTTCCCACAAGATCTACTTGCTCAAGAGATTCTATGACGTCTAACAGGGAATGGATTACGTTTTGGATAACATGTTCCTTGATAGCGTGGAACCAATAAAACAGTATCTGGTGGAAACGCGTGTGAAGGATGTTAAATGACATTTGTTACCGACAGCGACGTATTTGGTTTTCTCTAGGTAAGATTTGCATACCAACTATCGAGCATGTAACAATGATTTGTATCTCTTAACCGTTGCCATTCGGTTATTGCGTTTTGCAATCGCAGATAATTCGAGATAAATGCTTGAGGGGCCTTCATATGATTACTATCATTAACCACCTATTATGCATATGTTATTTTGATGTTGAAACCAAGTATAAAACTGATCCGCAAATGGAACTTGAGGAGGCAAGCTGATTTGATTATGAACTGTGTAAAACAAAGTACTTCAGCTCTACTAAAATATTATAGTTGCAAAACATTACTTTCAGGTCTGAGTTAAAAGTGCCAGACAAAAGATTTCCTTATTTTAAAAACAAAACATGTTTACCTCGTTTTCTGATAACAAATATTTCTTTGCTAAACACCTGGTTAAATAAAGGGTGCAAAGCTAAATAATATTAGCGTCTGGTTTGCATAACAACCTATATCTTCTTAATATAATATAAGTAAATTGGAAGTAATAGCATTAAAATGCACCGAAGAAACATATCGTTGGTCCAAACAGTGCACACTTAAACTATATATAAAAATGTCTTTTCATGTCCTTTGATTGTAACTTATATCATTCATGCAAACCCAATTCAAAGATAAATGAATTGATCAGAAAAATTACTGCTGTGTTCGGTTGAGGTTTATGTTATAACTATCATGAATTGTATGTTGACTGTACAGAATTTTAGTTAAGAACCAACTGCTAACATCGTCTATACCGCTTCCATAACACTATTTTATAAATGACACAGCATAGCAGATTTACAAAATAAGCTAATTGCAAAGTGGTTTCTAAATAATGCAAATTGGAAATTAGTATGCTTTGTTTGATCAAAAATAACTGTAGAATTACGTGAACAACGGTATTCAGATTCCAGCTTTATTTCAGCAGGTTTGTGTAAAGTGACATTTATTAGTGGCACTTTTCGTTCGCTTAAGCTTAATATCCTTTTTTCGTAGTTTGTTGGAATCATCCCACTGTATATCTTACACCATATATCCATTGATAAAGACCTTGATATTTATAAATAGTTAACCTTTAGTAACGGATACCAACATATCACTACTGTCTGAAAACAGTGGTTAGCCTAACAGTTTTGGGTCAGACAACACACTGCTCCCCGTTTGGTTGTATCTAGGAAGAATTTAATCTTGAGAATGTGAGTTAAGGACATGACAACTGCGTTACGCACAGAACCCATTACGCTCATCAACACTTCATGTAAACTTCATCCAGCTAAGGACCCTAACTACATTGGCATATTAGGCTTAATGAACTAAAATCATTGCAGAATATCAAATTTATTGGTTCCTTATATATCTAGCTTACCAATAATTGCTAGTATGCTGGGGGTTTGGATTTAACTACGTTTATGGCATGCGCATTTGTAGTTGACAAAAACAAGCGTACTATAACAAAATTGCATTATTGGGTTTATAAATATATTGGCGGTGTAAAAAATGTTGTGTTATGTGGTAGGAAATAAAGTGGTTTGGCGACTTTCCCCGTGAACTCCTGGATGGGTTTACTGTGAATTATTTTTATTGCATTGTTAATAAATGTCATGTAACCAAGTAAATAGGCAGGTTATTGTTACAAATTATTGAACAATATTTGACCCGAAAACCCCATAAATAAGTTTGCTTTAATATCACGCATTTATCCAGCCAGCGTTAGTGTAAGCTGGTTAAATAATTAATATTAATTAAAGTGTAAATGTTTACCAGTTTTATAATTATCGAACTCCGATGTTTTCAAAATTTGGATCAGATAAACCACCAAAGCAGGAGCAAAGAAAGAGAGCAAAATTTTATCCGGGTTTATCTAAGTTGCGTTCTGATTGCAAAATTTACAAGGCTTCAGTTATTTTGCTTTTCACTAACACGAACTTGAAAGCTCCATATAAATCGCCATTTGCAACGCATTTTTAAATAACGTACTAAATAACATCAACTAAGAAAAATACCAATACGTAATCTGGTAAGCAACAATTCCATGCAGGTAATGGCAATGTATTTTGATCAGTTCGACCCTGAAAACTACCGGATGCATCGGTGAATGTATAAAATAATATTTCAGCGCCAGGATTATAAGTGATTTTTTATTATTTTATAAAGCATAGTCAGATATTCTTTACTATTCGTTGTAAGCTGATTTCGCTAACCAGCAAGAAAATTATCAAGTTAAGGAGTAACACTTGCATGATTAGAGAAGAGTTGTTCCGTGGATGCTGTTTGTTATTTCTTTAGTTTGATATTTCCATAGATCAAATTCACCGTGCTTATTCATGGATGTCTCAGATGAGTGTGCAATCTTGGAGTAATATCCAGTGCATAATGTCCATCGTTAGCAATTTTGGAGTATTTATTTTCCATTTTGAATTATTTCCCCGATAGCAAGTAATCACCTGTGAATGCTTCTGGTCAAAATATGTGCATATTTTTATTAAGTTCTACGATTAGAGTCCAGTATACTGGTTGGAAGCATTAAAAAGTGAAATCTTGTCATCTACATGGGAAGAAAGTTTTTCAAACTTTGCATAAATCTTTGTTCGCAAAAGTGTCTGTTATCCACCCGCATCAAATCCAGTAATACACGCTTCAACCGAAGTAACATTTTCTTCCCATCAAGAGCGGAATCTGCACTTGAGCTCTTAAAATAGGCAAATACCTTTTTGTAAGCCTATCCGTGTGAGACGCGGATAGATTAGACAAAGGAATCTAACGAAAGGCGCGGGATGCAACGGTTTACCTGCTCCAGTGTAGGCTCATCTTTGTCCACCATCACCCAGGTTCATTAATAACTACTCGACCGGGTTAACTGAAATTTTGTCTTATGCAAACCAATTAGAGAAATTAAAAAGTTCCCGTTGCGAATGTCACAATCGTCGGGCCACTGACTATTATCCACACCTTCAAGTTATCTGCAAACGAAGCGCGTGACTCACGGAGCTGCGGGACATGTCATTTCTATTGAGCAGGAACTAAATGAGGAGAAGTGCCCCAAAGTAGAACACGCCATTGGTAGAGGGACCACAGTCGTTCAGATGGTTGTAGGCCTGGACACTGCAATTTCGCAAAACTAGGAAATTCCTGATCCTTCGATGCAGCGATTCACTAACACCGTACACTCTCAGCCTGTGGAGGAGTGTCTCATAATTCACTTTGTTAAATGGCTTATTGTGTTCAGTGTACTTGATTTCAACTGACGTCCCTTGGTTCAGCACTTGCAGTCATTCTTATCTCGACAGGAGCATGTTGGTGCTAAACGCGCGACCTTTTACAAAACTGCGCTCTGCGGACCTCAAGAAGATTTCCAGCTCCAGAAGCTATAGATCACACTTATTTACGTTCATCCCATGTGTCTTAATCAGAACAACGATCTGGCAGTTTAGCCAGTAGATGTTTAATCAGCTTGGGTCGCCTCATCCGCTACTGACTTTGGGGCTAAATATTTCTAGTCACTCCGTCATGAATCTGTGAATATTGTCCTATTAAGCAGCTCAGTGACCGATGGCAAGATGATGCTCGAATAGGACTTGCGGGTGAAGGTTGTCATTCTGTAAGGTCCGGAGTGCAAAGCTTCGTAAGGACTGGGCTGCAGCTTATGTACATCACCGTTGCAACCTAACGTGTCTAGCTTTTAGGAGCGGTACCCGTCGACCTCCTTCCTAGTGCTTAGACCACTAACACTTACACATTGCCAGCAGGCCTTAGACACAGTTTTACATAAGCACAATACCTCGTTGGAGCCCTCTTGCTGCGTTTCGGCGCATTTCTGTTTTCGCGTTGTCGCAGAGATTTTGCTGTCCTCTCTAAGCCATTTAAACAAGCTTATAACCCGACATTGCAGAGGTATACAATAGCCCATGTCACTCGCAGACAAGTTTAATTTACGCCTTGTTGAACCAATACGCTTTGACTGGCCTAACATACTGACACATAAGAACTGGGAATCAGGAGCACAATGTCTTTAATCCTTGATAAATAATAGATTGGCCGATGAAATTCTTAGAAGCGACTAGGAATTCTGGCTAGTGCTTCAATTAATTATACTTACTTCCGCATTTAAATTAGTAAAGACTGGTTCATCGAAGAAGGATAAGGGATGAGAAGATGCCAACTCATCATGATCATCAAGTATTCACTTGCTTTTGAAGTATTAGTTACGAAATATCATTCACACATTGCACACCGCTGGACAAAAACAATACTAGGTATGATGGAATCCAGCGGGAGGTTACTCCCGACCCTCAGTGGTGATCACTCAATATCAAAACGAACTAAAGAAAGCACTTAGAAGTTAGATTAGTATTAGCAGTATTCTTTCAGAAGATACAGGTCAGGCTCACAGCACTTCGTAGCAACTTCACTTAATTTATGTTTATCTTAAAGTGTGTTCTAATTCTTAAAGTGCTTGCCCTCATAACTCGTAAACGTACTGTACCGCAAACGTTCGCGGAAATGATTTGGGTGAACAATTTTGTCAAAACTGTCCTAAATGTTTTCTTGTGCTTGAGTGTTTGTTTAATGAATAAGCCTTTCAAATTAGGCGATTGACACAGGGGTGCTAATGCGCCCATCAATGGCGAAAGACGTATCGCATACAGTTTTAACGACATTGTTACTTAAACTGATTCAGAGCACTACTTGGTGATAAGCTTTATTAAATATTATACTGCTTTATACAGTAAGAGCTCTATTTTAAACGAAAACTGTGTTTATACCGGTAAGCATATTTAGTTATAAAAACTAGCAGGCAAGATCTTAGTTCATGGGTACTGCAACTTGAATGTATAAAGAGAGTACTGACATTGGACGACACTTGGTGCAAAAAGATTGCCCAATTAATTGTTAAGATTCGCGAAATTCAAGAACATATTTACATGTCGAGAAAAAATTTTAAAACTTTAAACACCGGTGCTGATTTTATATTTCGCGCAACAGATGGTTCGTTTTATTTATTAATGTCACTACTGTTAA